AAGTACTTTAAACTCATTTATTGATACATGTTTTTATATTATCGGCAATCGGCAAATGGAGATACATCAAAATGCCGATTTCAGACATTCCTTGGAAGTACAAAAATTTAGCGAAATGGACAAAACTTCAGGTACAAGTTCAAAAAAATTTATAAAAACACATTGTATTTTCTTAGATATTAAATATTAAAGCTGTTTATTGGTTTTTATATTATAGTTTTATATTTATATTCATTTGAATTTATATTTTAGATAGGAAAACGAGATCTATGTTTCTTTCAATGACCCATGGCGGAGGTGATGCATCCTCCGAAGAAACTCATGTCGGAGAGTGCGTTCACAATTCCTGCGATTTAAAAAGTATGATGAAAGAAATCCGTATTGCAGATGCCTATAATCAAAAACGCAATTCGAAACATAAACATCTTCTTCATTTAGGAGGAAATAGTATGGTTAATTTTTTTCAATTAAAATTATTATTAAAATCAGTTCGTTATATAAAAATACTATATTTCTCTTAAAAGATTTACTCCGTATGCATAGATAACTTTTAGCTAATATGTACAATTCACAATCGATGTAAAAGTTGTTTATTGATTGTATTATTTTTTTAAAACCGCCTAAATATATTCTGTTTTACCTGTAAATAATCAATGCGTTAGTAGGTCCTTGGTTTACAAGCTCGCCCAGTAAAAATTTGCATCGCGATGAACCTAATTTGAAGAAGAAAAACCCCACGAATTTTCAAAATTCCAAAAAGACATCTAGTTGTGTTGAAGTCCATTCGGAATGCATAGAATGTGGTACCAGAATAGAACAATCTGAGGATGAAAATCAGGTATATAAAATAAGTATAGTATAATACACTGGGGGTTACGTTTCGTCAAAACCGAGCGAAAAACAAAACTCTTAAATGGAGCTCTTAAAACTCCCAAATAGTTTGAAAAAGATGAACAAAAATTATTAAATTTAATAACTGGATATATTTTTATAAAAAAAACATGCATTTATTTCGTGCAAAAATATTATTAACGAATGTACTCATAAAAAGCCGATAAAATTCAAATTTAGTCTGACAGAAGAAACTGCATCATAGATAAGGAAACTGCATATTTTTTATTTTCATTTGTGTCAAGATAATATCTAATGTAATTTTCGATTAGAAGTTGTTGATAGGTGGATGAACCATCTCTTGATTTTGAACTCCTGTTAAAATTTTGATCATTTTCAACCAATTAGTCCATAATTTCAGTCCATTGATCAAAAACGTGTCTATATAGAACCTTGAAAGTGCTCTTTTTCAAAATTACTATAATTAAATTGTTTTTTGTTGAATTGTTAATTGCTTCAGATCACAATTAGAAAGACTTGCTGCTAATTCTTAAACTATTTCTTCAACATCTTCATCATATTTCTCATCTCAATTGGTTTGTTCTGACCACTATTTTCCACGATTTCACATATATTTTGGTGAATCTAAAAACTGGCGTTATATGGGGTATTATTGTGTTTTCTTTATTACCGAATTATAAGTACAATATTTGATTGAATATAATAGAAAGTGACTATGTTTTCTGATGTGCAGGAGAAAATTCTGCAATAAATAACTTTAAATTTTTACGATTAAAATTTATACAAATCATTTCTATAGCACTAACATTAAAAAAATGTCTCTCAAGGTATCAACGATGCTAGATGAAAAATGCAATAATCAATATGAATACGACAGAAGACATTATCCACAAAACGGTTGCGGCGATTCCATAGATCCTTGCTCATCTGCAACAGCGGATATGATAGATAAGCAAAGAAATATGGATTACCAAATTGAATTGGAAAACGTTTTTAGAACGAGAGAAAATCCTGTTTTGTCGATGACGTGTTCAACTGAGGTTAGTAAATTTATTGTGATCTCTTTAATAAAATGCCCTGATTTTTTTAATTAGGTGGATAGCCCAACGGTTGGCATTAGCTAAATTATTTTCCGAGTTTATTGATACTTTTGTTGAAAATCTTCAGACGCATAATTTGGCCCATAATGATTGTTACAATTAATGTAAATTTTTGATTGTAAATATATTTATACCGAATCAATATCACATACTAAAGCGGCCATCAAATCAGTATTCAAGAGTAATGAAAAGATATCAGACATTTTTAGGCGTTGGGTTGCCTTCTAAAAGACAACACAGTTAGAATGTTTCATCACATAGCTCACCAGAAACTTAAGTTTCTATTCATATTTAAAAATATATACCTCACCAACGCTTTTCTTAAATTTTGCAATTGCGATGTTTGTTACCTTAATTTTATTACAATACTGCACTAAATGTGGAATGATATCTGGAACATTATATACTATTATTATAACCAACATTTTTTATTATACGATTGTATCATCATTAGCCTTCAGTTGGTTCAAAATCAAATCGCAGAGCCCATCTTACAAAATCAGCGCCTAGCAAAGGCAGCTCATCGTCCTCCAAAAAATCTTCAGATTCCGGAGTTTCGCTCTGGTCTCGTATCGCCGGGTCTTTACATCGACATCCACATAGTGCGAGGCCTGCGAAAAATGGAAATTCAGAGATGAAAAAACCCGAGAAAAATCCCGAAAGTCCCGTAACCACAAGAGTGATGGAGTTCGTACCACCTACTGATATATCATCAGAATCGCCGAAATCGCTTTCGCCTCAATTATGCCATAAAGTTATTAAGCGGAAACTGGCACCTCCTGAACCTGGTAATTTTAGAAGTTCTCCAAAAGTATCTTTCGTAGAAAATATTTTTTTCAAAAACAATTTTAAAATAAACATTGTACAAGATTTACATGCTACTTATCTGCGTATATAGTATTATATTTTTAAAGTTTGGAAGTTGATAATAATTCAAAGAAAAATATTATTTAAAATCTAAATTATATTTACAAAACAAAAAAATAAACTAAACTCCGGTTCATCAATAAAAATTATCGTATGGTAGGTCTCTCTTACAAAATCTATGGACGCGAATAATCAGATTCATCATTACAATGGCTAATGTACGTGTATACAAAGTCAACAAATGAACAATCATTACATTGCAATTATAATTTATTTAAAGTTGGAAAGCTCTAACAGCTACAGTGAAATGCAACAATTTATGTATTTGTAACAAATCATTTTTATGACAATTTTATTTATTTACTTACCTTTTACCTCCTCTTTGATATCTTAATGAGCATGTTACAATTATTACACGAAAGTATCAAGATAGTGCTCGTTTTCATAGTACGATATTTATTAGGATTTGGTAACCCGAGTGGACCATCTCAACCCGAGCATGCAGAGCCACAGCAGATTTTTTTCTGCCATTTAATTATGTTTATTCTAACTTGGCAGCAATATTTAGTGAAAAACTCATCATATCCTCATTTTATATCAGATTGCCTCAATTTGCGGGATGGGCCACTCTAGTTTCCAACTCCTCATATGTTCTTATATGTAATACCATCAAATAATATAACATTGTGGCTTCTGCAATTAGAACAAAATGTGAATTGTAAATAATTAATCAATACATATAATATCAAAACTATTCACTCATTTTAAATTACTCGCTACATCTGTCCACTCATATTCATAAAACATTATTCTGATCTATAAATATTTCAAGTTTACTTTTTAAATGTTTAGATTTCCGAATAAAAATAATTCATTTATTGTTTCTATTCGCAATATATAAGTGCAGTTCACATATGAAAATATAGTTAAAATTTAACTTGCTTATAATATTTATGACTTTTTACTGTAATGTTTCAGCGATTGCCGTTGCAAAGTTAACTCGCAAATCAAATTTTAGTGTCACTTGCAAAGGCAAAGCAAATTGGGCTTATTCTAAACAAGCTCGAGATGAAATAAGGTCAAAATGCTACAATAAATGCCATTCAGCATTAAGGCCTGTATGAAACGATACTTTTAAAAAATTTATAGAAACGTATATAATATTTTATGTGTTAACTAATATCTTTTCATAGTCAAATGAAGATTGTGAGAAATGGTGGGCACAGCCTCGCGACTTGCAAGTCGATTCACAATTACTTCGAGCACGACGTAAACAAATTTTAACATCTTCTGATAAATGCTGCGAAGTATGTTGATTAAAAAGATATATTATTTATGATTAAATATTATCTATGAATTAATATTTTCTACAAAACTTATTTTACATTTGTATACATGATCTCAAACAAAATTATGTTATTAAAAACATTTACATGATTCATTGGGTTTATTTTTTACATACATTTCTTGGAACTCACTCTAAATGAACTGATAAATTAAAATTTCTGACTAGAACTAATATTCTTTTCATTATAGTTGACAATAAATTTATTATTGTCATTATATATTTATTATATATTAATTTTTCTTAAAGATCTCTCCAACATGCAAGAGAAGACCGGCAAACATAATACAACAAAAAGAGAAATTGCAGGAAATTGTTCAAGAATATGTGGAAGCATCTGAAAGCGAAGTTGATATTGATCTTAGTGATAGTGAAGATTCTAATAGATGCTTCTGTTTTCGAGTATTGAAAGAATCAGTGGTACAATTATTTATATTAAAACCTTTAAGAAGACGTAATGAATGATGTACAAAATATGAGTAACTGAAATAAGTTATTTATGACATAGAATATAATTTGATAATATTCACAAATAAAGATTTATAGAAAAAATTATGTTTATTGAACCTTAAATAATACATTTTACTATAATAAATATCTTATCAATCGAACTCTTGCAGTAGTATGAAAGGAAATTTACGGATAGTCAAGTAACATTCATTCGAACAAAAATTCAAATTTATTTTTATTTTAACATTGAGATCTGCCATAAATGAAATATGTACTGCAGTTATAATATATAACACTGTTAAAACATGTACTATGTTCGCTTTCATTTAAGTTTGGCTTATGTACATTAAACTTCAAAATTCAAAATGTTTGTCCTTTCTACTATGCAAATTGTAATCCACAAAAACCGTGAACATGAAATCTAAAAATATCACAAAATTTTCTGTACTATAATGAACTTAATTGCTCACTGGATTGTAATTCATTTCATCATGAAATAATTAATTTTTCAAGGAAAAAATTAACTATGTAAAATTGATCCCAAGAAATACTTAAAAAAAAATGTTTTCAAATCTGTCTTGGTACTGGAAAGATTTCAAAAAATTCAGTTTTAGATAATAATCTCACTTATCAAAAATTTGAATATTTACAATACTAAATCATCATCGAAATGAAAGAAAATATCAAAGTTAAAAATTTAAAATTGTAATTAAGTGAGTTATGGTGACACACCACATTTCTTTATCAAGAACTATCCCCATTTTGAATTCCTTGATTTAGTGACAAATTCAACTCTCTACGTATATAAAACAAAATGTATGGTTTACATGCTGCAACGGTATCTACATCTGTTGTTCGTACAGTGCTATCATTGAAATGGAACCACTGTCCACTATGATTAGCAAATGATGTATAGTGTCCAGAGCCAGCTCTGAAAACATAAATATTCAAAATAAATAAAAATATATAAAAAAGTCCATGTGAAACTTTTTTTACAAATTTAAAAAAAAATTAAGAAATCTGCCCATTTCAGCAAAAGATCAGACAACATCCTCAATAATTAATTTGAAGACCGCATTGAAAAATCTTATTTCTTACATAATAACTGGCTAAATGATTTTAGTGTACAATAATTTGAGTGAACATTATTCAATTGCATTTATGATAATGCTCAGCAACAATACAATCTTTAACATATTAAATAATGAAAAAAATTATTTGATCCTATACAAATTTTTGAAAACATTTGACAGTTTTATATATATATATATGATTTAGTAGTTAATTTTGATGTTGAAATATGTGAGTGAGTTCTTGAGGGCGATACATCAAACAAAGAAAAGCCAAAGATTTATAAAATAATCTTTATTTCCAAACGTTTCGACATTCAATTTAATGTCATCATCAGTGGATATTATGTTGGTTGGTTACATATAGAGAAGTGTACACAGCACTAGAGATTGGCACTAACATTTATACAACTAACTTGTCAACACTATGCATTTTTTATAATTTTTTGTATGATGTAAACAGAAAAATGATAGTTTTATTGAACAAAAATGTAAGTAGAATTATGTAATTTCTGCCACGACTTCTGTACTTTGCTAGTACCGAGGCATGTATATCTGATATACATGCCTCGGTACAAAAGTATAAAAACGTAAGTTTTATACAAAGTATAAAAACTTTTATTTATACGTTTCGACACAAGATGCGTGTCATCATTCAGCAACACAGGACAAAAACACTCAACAAAAATTTATTTTAAAAAATTAAACTTAATAACATATTAGAGAAAAACATTTTTTTAGAAAAAATTATGAATAACTAAAAGATTTGAAAACTAATTTGACTAAAAGTTATGAAATGCATAATTGTGAAGCGAGAAACACGCCCATACCGAGCATCCAGACTCGACTGCTCGGTATGGGCGTGTTTCTCGCTTCACAATTATGCATTTCATAACTTTTAGTCAAATTAGTTTTCAAATCTTTTAGTTATTCATAATTTTTTCTAAAAAAATGTTTTTCTCTAATATGTTATTAAGTTTAATTTTTTAAAATAAATTTTTGTTGAGTGTTTTTGTCCTGTGTTGCTGAATGATGACACGCATCTTGTGTCGAAACGTATAAATAAAAGTTTTTATACTTTATACCTTTTTTATTTCGACGAATGGGCTGCTAGTTACTCTGAAATATATATATATATATATATATATATATATATATATCCAATAATAAAAAACAATTTGTTTTTTGAAGATGTTTAATAACGACGTTTCGGAACTAGATACGTTCCATCATCAGGTTTATTCTGTCAAAGACAATGTTTTTTAAAACTATTGATTAACATTAATTAATGATAGTTATTACAGATTATTTAGAAAAATTATAAGGGAATGGATTATGTACCAGTGTAAAGAGTAATAAAAATTAACTAAAAAAGATTTTATATAAAATTGAGAAGCAAAAATTATTTACTTGTAATAATTTATATATCCATATCACTAATATTTTTTGTTAAAAACACTCGATTTTTTCCGAGGATATTTGTAAATGTTTTGACTTCACAAGACTTTAACACATTGTTATGGAGTTCTGTCGGCCAGATGTAAGGGATATGGTAATTTACGAAAAATGGGAATGTATTGCTTCGGCAAATGTTGAGAAATATTATTATGTATATATACATGCACATACATATGCACACCTACATACACATAAATGCATATACGAGTACACATATATACATATGCATATATCCATATTTTCATGTACATACAATTATATACACACGAACATATACGCAAGTACATGTATATAGTGTATATACAAAAACATATATATAATGTTTTTGTATATACACTATATACATGTACTTGCGTATATGTTCATGTACAAACATGTACATATACACACAAAATTATTAAAGGATTAATCGTTTTTAATTAGGTTTAAAAAATTTAGATACAAATCATGAATGATATTATGATCTGATCTTTTATTAACACAATTGGACGAATTCAAAAAGATTAAACTGCTTTCAGAAAAGTGTTTTAAAAGTACAATCCTCTCTATATAAAATAATGGGTTCAAAGGTAAAAATATGTGAATTTTCAATGGAATGTTGGACAAGAGTGCTTTGGAAACTTTGGCTTTTGTGATGAATGACACTTATCTGGCCGACAGAACTCCATAACAGTGTGTTGTCTTGTAAAGTCAAAACATTTACAAATATCCTCGAAAAAAATCGAGTGTTTTTAACAAAAAATATTAGTGATATTGATATATTAAATATTACAGGTAAATAATTTTTGCTTCTCAATTTTATATAAAACCTTTTTCAGTTAATTTTTATTACTGTTTACACTGGTACATAATCCATTCCTTTATAATTTTTCTAAATAATCTGTAATGACCATCATTAATTAATGTTAATCAATAGTTTTAAAAAACATTGTCTTTGACAGAATAAACCTGATGATGGAACGTATCTAGTTCTGAAATGTCGTTATTAAACATCTTCAGAAAACAAATTGTTTTTTATTATTGGATTTACTGTTCGGAAAAGAAACAATCAATATATTGAAAAAATCCAGGACTTATCTATTGAATATATAATTATATATATATATATATATATATATATACACACATATAATTTTTCATGCCTTAAACGTGTAATATTGTCAACTTTAAATGTATCGTTCAATTTAGTTGAGTTTAACTTAGTGAGTGTTTAATTAAAATATTTTTGATCTCAATAATTGTCCAATAAAAGTTGTTGAAGAACGGGTCGTGCTCATATCACAGAACATAGAAAATATATATAAATAAAAAATTAAATAAAATTTTTCTGAGGCAAAGCAAATTTGGACCCTGCAATGAGTTGAAACATTTTCTATTCCGTATTCTACAAAAATTATTTTAAAAGTTATAGTGAAATTACATTATAATAATTAATTTTTAGAATTGAACTGTAACTCACCCCGACCCATGATGAACTATTACAGCAGCTAAATCATACAAATTGTGACCTGAGCCACCTATCAGAGATTTTCGTGTCTCTGGAATATTGGCTAATACAAATGCTGACATGTCAAGTGACGTTATGGGAAAAGATATATTGACATCAATCTTGGTTCTGCAAAAAGGAAAAAAACACAATTTTTGTTTGTGAAATTCATTCAGATTTGAAAACTAGTTTCAGCCATACCTAAAGAAATTATTCCACCTGAATCTTTTTATATGCAAGCAAAGAACATTAGGCAATCTTCTGATCCAAAACTGCTTGGTAGACCTTTGCTTGCTTTTACATGAACTGCAGTAATACAACTCAGTTTCAGCTAATTCTTCTACCTATTTAAATTTATGATTTATTTATTTATTGTAAATTAAAAACTAATCTCAATTTAATAATTTCAAATGTGCTCACCTCTGTAAAACTGGTTAAACAGTCTGAAATATTGCACATTGGTTCATCATTCTCTTCTTTATTCTTTTTATCAGAGAATCTATCAGGAATATCAAGTGATAAATCCAAAAATGGATCATGTTTTTTACTTTGAGTGCCACATTGGAGACATTTGACCTAAATAAAAAAACAAAACATTTACCAGGATCTACAAATTTATTTATAATTAAAAAAATAAACGCTTATGATCAAGTTTTACTCTGACATTCAAAAATTAAATAATGATCATTCAATTTTATTGCATAATAATAAACAAAATCTCTACTTGCCTTATTTCAAAATGCTGTGTGAAATTAAATATTTGTATTCATTGATTCAATGGCAATTTATAGAAGGCCACTTATAAATAAAATGAGTATAAGATAAAGTTATTAATGCAACGTGAAAGCAACAATTAACAATAGAGATTTGAAAGCATTTTTATTTTGATATGAATTTGAAAATGAAATATCAGTTAAATATATTGAAATATATGAAATTTGTTGAAGAAATAGTAACATTTAAATTTGCTTTTAATTTTCATAAAATAAATATTTAACAAAATATCTCACCACTAACCTCACTCTGTAGAGTGCCACCAAAAACTGTTGTCACAATACTATTACGACCTTTCATACTAGAGATATAAGTGCCTTCTTTAAGATTTACATCAGGCAATAATTGTTGTAACTCAGTATGTAATCGGTCCAATACATATCGTAAAAACTCATGTGCATCCTGTTGTTGATATCCTCGAAAACGGGGAACAACCTTCCATATCACAAGAAATAAGCATTCAGGAGAAATAGCTGTGCCTTTGGAACCACAGCCACCTTGACTTAGATTTATAAGTACCTATAAAATCAACATATATTATTAAAAACCAAGCCATACGACTAAATTCAAAAAATGGCAAAACTATTAATTATAAATTTGAAAACTAATTTTAATATGCATAGAAATATATATACATATATGTATAAATTTGTTTAATTGATGTAAAGTATTGCATGCAAATGCTTTAGTAAAATTTTATATTCAAATGATAAACTTTAGTTTAATTAAGTTAGAGATAAAACAAAACAATAGGAATACATACATTATTTATTAATAACATTACTTTCAGCTTTCAAATTTAAGATATAAATATCACTTAATTTAATATCATTAAACCATAAAATATTTAAAATAATAAATACTATGCGATGCAGTTAATAATATGCATACCTTTCTCAGTTCTTCTACCAAATGAATGTCATTAAACTCTTTATAGCTTCTAGAATGATAAATTCTTCTTCCATTATTCTTATTTTCCAATGAAGGTAAGCTATTGAAATAGCAACTAAATTCTTGTATGTTACTGAGAGACTGCAAAACTGCATTCATAAAACATGTATTTCCTAAATTTCGTAATCCAACAACTTTCTTCTCTCTACTTTTATTTGTTTTCTTCACATTTTGAGTTTCATTTTCTACTGAACTTGTATCAGTAGAGGCTGATCTTTTTCTTGCACGAGGTCTTAAATTTCGGACAGGTTCATCTAAATCGTTTTTTGAGCTATGGATATTTTCTTCAAGTATATCAGATACACTAGCATTGGGGCTAATCTCATTTGTACTCTCGACTGAATTATACTCATGTAGAAGCTGACGTACATTTTCTATGAGATATTCATTTTGTTCTGCACACACATAATCATCACATTGATAGCTGTAATTTTTTGTTATTATTTATATTAATATGTACATCATTAAATTATATATATATATATATATATATATATGAGTGAGTTCTTGAGGGCGATACATCAAACAAAGAAAAGCCAAAGATTTATAAAATAATCTTTATTTCCAAACGTTTCGACATTCAATTTAATGTCATCATCAGTGGATATTACGTTGGTTGGTTACATATAGAGAAGTGTACACAGCACTAGAGATTGGCACTAACATTTATACAACTAACTTGTCAACACTATGCATTTTTTATAATTTTTTGTATGATGTAAACAGAAGAATGATAGTTTTATTGGACAAAAATGTAAGTAGAATTATGTAATTTCTGCCACGACTTCTGTACTTTGCGAGTACCGAGGCATTCTTCTGTTTACATCATACAAAAAATTATAAAAAATGCATAGTGTTGACAAGTTAGTTGTATAAATGTTAGTGCCAATCTCTAGTGCTGTGTACACTTCTCTATATGTAACCAACCAACGTAATATCCACTGATGATGACATTAAATTGAATGTCGAAACGTTTGGAAATAAAGATTATTTTATAAATCTTTGGCTTTTCTTTGTTTGATGTATCGCCCTCAAGAACTCACTCACATATTTCTACATCAAAATTAACTACTAAATCATATATATATATATATATATATATATATATATATATATATATATATATATATATATGATTTAGTAGTTAATTTTGATGTTGAAATATATGAGTGAGTTCTTGAGGGCGATACATCAAACAAAGAAAAGGCAAAGATTTATAAAATAATCTTTAATTCCTAACGTTTCGTCATTCAATTTTGATGGTATTTTATATCTAAAAATCTGTACACATCACAGAATTTTGCACTAACATTGATCAATGCTAGTGCAAAACTCTGTGATGTGTACACATTTTGCAATAACATTGATCAATGTTAGTGCAAAATTCTGTGATGTGTACACATTTTTAGATATAAAATACCATGTTCAATATCCACTGATGATGACTGATGATGATTGAATGTCGAAACGTTTGGAATTAAAGATTATTTTATAAATCTTTGCCTTTTCTTTGTTTGATGTATCGACCTCAAGAACTCACTCATATATATACATATATATATATATATATATATATATATATATTCATATAACTAATTTAAAACTGTTATATATAAAGCACAAACTTTAGATATCAAATTCAGTATTGTGTTTGAGTAAATAAATTTAATATGCAGATTAGTGAAAACATTTAACAGATGAGTAACAGTAATAAAATTGCACTTGCCTCACTTCTAATTACATCTTTTAATTAGTGAAACATGAGAGTGATATACTGACTATCTATTAATAGTGAAATTGTATTTAAACACTTAATACATGAAAAAATAAAATCAACCTACCAAAATACAGAGAAGATTTCACATTGCATACAAAGATCATGGTTTGAGTTTGACTCCGCATGCTTCTTGGCATGTTGATTATTATAACGGCCACATAAAACGACTCCACAATAAAGACACAACCAATTTTGACCAGAACTCTTACATTCTGCAAAGTTATAATACAAAACTTACAAAAATGTAAATCAGTACTTCATTAAATGTATAATTATACAGATACACATTCTTTATATGCTTATGGGTCTATTTTTGAACTTCTGTATTTAATAATAATATGATTCTATGCACTACCTCAAATTAAATTCAAGATTATTAATTAACAGTAAAATGTAGTTGTAATTCTTGTATTGTGTAATTGTAATTAATAGTATAAGTTAAAGTAACTTGAAATAATTAATAGTAAAAGCTATGTTGCTTTAACTTGACAATTTAAAATTACTCATCATTGATAAGTTAGATCATCAATAATAATAAAATCACTGTATAAAACTTAATATATAAGGATGTAGATTTAATAAATAACTTCATATATTTAGAGATAATTCTTGTCTTGTCAGAACACATTAAAAAACTAAAAATGATTATTCATTTTTCCCTTTAATGAGCAACTTAGGTCATTAAAAACAATAAATAAAACATCAAAAACATATAGCAATCTATCTTGATAATTGTTGCTTAAACCTACTACTTAATTTTTATGAGTGAAAAATGATATATATTAAATGAGAATAATTAAAATTGGAAAAATCTGCAGATATGATGGTATTATTTATAAGAATATAAACTATATAGAAATATTATAGCATATGGAAACTTAAGGCAATTATGAAAAAGATTCATAATGATTATAATCATGAATGAGATGATATCTTAAGCAATCATTTTTATTATGCAAATATTAAGAACGGTTGCTCTAGTAAATATATGGGTTAAGCAAAATGTTTTCATCACAATTAATAAAAAATGAGCCCAATATTCTTAACTTAAATGTCTAAAAGTTGGGAGTGATCAAAATTTTGCGCAAGCTCTGTTAAGACGCCTATTGAACCAAAATACAGTGCACGACATCCCCACTCTAAGCATATGATAACGAACAGCTGATTACGGATTAACTTAGTTATTGATTTTATGATAATCATTATTGCATTTATAAATATTAATATTGAATAAAAATATTATAAACGCACTTACCTAAGCAATTCCAATTCTTTGTTGTACCATTCCTGCCAGATAACAGGTCTCGGTTTACCTTCACACTTCCAATAATATGTGGACAGTTCATTTTTAAAACAAACTGCTGTTTATGTTATTATTTTATTCAAGCATAATAATTATTTAATAATATAATTAAAACTGCCCGCTGGACAGCTTCAATACACAACCATGACATTCTCCTGCGCACATAAAACAAAATACATTCGCTACTGCAGTGGACAGATTTTTATTTGATAAAACAAAATGGAGGTATTGACCTGACGTACGCGAGAGCTAGACGAAGATACACAATGCATACCCAGCGCTCGATTCAAACGTGCGCACACGAAGTAACGAAAGTATTCATTAATTTTTTTTAATAATGAGATAAAATAAATATTTAAATTATAAAATAATTTAATGAATATGCACAAACTGTACACTTTATATAAAGTGTAATATTTTTTAATTAATTTTTATATTTTGATCACCTTATATTTTTACTTAAATTATTTTAAAAATTGAAGCATATTATTTAAAAATATTGAAAATTCAAAAATTAATTGCAGACAGAAGTATAATCTGTGACAGTACAGAAAGTTATTACAGAAAAAAGTAATTTACAAATTACAAGTAAAACCACAATGAATCAGTTATATATATTTATTTATAAGAATATAACTGACATTTTCATATTAACGCCTAGCATTGAATGTTTGGGGTTGAGTTAATTGCAGACCACTGATGTTCTTGAAATCTAGCATGCTCAACATTTCTTTAGTTTCTGGATCTACTTCAATAATATCGTGCTCCAAAGCAGATACTTCTGGTACAAAGTTATCACGACGCTCCCTTTCTTCTTCTTGCAATTTAATTGAGATACCTCTAACTTGTGAGTGACGGAGACGTTTCATCAAATGTGTAACAAATCTGTAAATGAAAATGGAAATTAGTATTTGCTGATATTTTGAAAATTACGTATCATTTCTCTTGGGTTTGTGAACTTCAGTCTGCCAAGGTTATCAGCATAATACTTCTTCAGATAAAATAAAGCGAAACCTTGTTTATCATCATAGTTTACTTTGCAAGTAACATTATTTCACTTAGAATTTACACTGTAAAATATGCACAGTGATTCCCAGCTTGTTTTTAGGTCATGTCTGAATTTAGAATTGAAAACAATTATACATGATTTTCAATTTGTTCTTAGTAATAGAACTATATATATTAATTAAATTTAAGGGCACAAAGTAAAGTTCAAATACAAAGTTTAGTTCAAAGGCATTTCGTTTTGCTCATTTACTTCATCACGGAGGTGTAAAATGGAATTGATTAAGTGTTAAGTCCATCTTTAAATAGTAACCTGCAGGGCGTGAGCCCCACGATGGGAAACACTGTACACATATGAAACACTGAAGGAACTTCAAGAATTGACATTAGAATGTTTTATCCTAATTAACCTATTAAATAGATTATTTCCTCAAGCTCCAACGTGTTAAGTGTCATTCCATGTTGTAAGAAGTTTTGAAAGTACGTACCCAGCGATTTTATTCCTCAAAGGTTTGGTCGGAATGATTGCGACTTCATCGCAGATTCTTTTGTTTGTATCAAAATCCAAAGTCAGCCTAGTGTAATACTTCTCAATGATGACTTTGGAAGCCTTCTTGATGGTTTTAGTTCTGACACGACCCTAAAAATACACAATACATGTAAGCATAACGTGTACAGGTTATAAAATGTGATTACTAAGGAAAATAATTATATTCATCAAATCACTACACCATATTGATTAACAAAAATAAAACTTTGAACTAACGATGAACACACATTACAGAGATTATTTTAAGATTATATTTTCTTCAAGAACTTACCATGATTACTCTTTAGCGGAAAGCACCATAGACGAAAAGAACTTGCTAGAGGTTTCATCGCATAGCTCGACGCTTGTCGGGAGGAGAACATGTTGACAACGACGTGAACTTCGTTCATTACCTTCCTTATGTTGGCATTGCAAGAGTGCCCTCTATGAGCAGTTTCATACATTATGTCGATAAAGTAGTGAATGGCTGTCAAATTGACAGTTTGTATTCTAAAGACAAAGTTCTTTTCTTTTTAATGTCCTTTTGACATTTGTCATTGTGTTTATTTTTATTTTAATTTGTCATCTAAAATATTCGATCGCGATACGCAATAAATTATAGTGTACTATGAGTTTCAAAGTTTCTAGTTTATATATATTATTTGTTGTTGCATGTATTTTAATAGAAAAAAATTACAATTTGTGACATATGGGACTGGATTTTTAGGTTAGTATTTAGTTATTACCTTCAATACAGAACTAGGCATAGTTTTTAAGTTTATATTTTATAATAATAAATAATAACATTTCATGGTGTTATGGTAAAATTAATTAATAGTTGCGCATGCGTATTTATTCTATTCATACTCCCACTATTTCGCTGGTTGCTTTGAATGTATTGCACAATGTTATTTTCTGGTGAAGGTATTTCATATATCAGTTTGTGTTTTAGTGCTCGTGAGGTGATACGTTTTTCTTGGTAAATTTGGAAATCCATACGTAAACCGTCATTCTAAATATTTGTGATTTGTGGGATTATTAATTAGTGACATTTTATTTAAAAATGGTTTGGAGTAATAGATAACGTTTACGATCATTCATATAATATTGTTGTGATTTATGAAAGTTGTTGGAAATTTGTGTGATATTGGTATGTAATAATATTATAGTTACTAATAAAATTTTTCAACTATAATGAGATAAAATAACTTTCTTTGTAATCTATTTTCTAACTGATCGGTATGAAATTCAAAAACTTAGAATAAAGTTTTATAAGTTTACTAAATTTTTAATATCAATCATGATATTTAGTCTCATGTATTACATTAATTATTGCCTTTCAATATTACTCTAACATCAGTATGAGCAATAATTATTTATTATTAATGTATAAATTATGCTGCGGTTATTCAATGTGAATTACAGATACTTCCAACTTACTTTCTAGTCATTTCGAATACTTGCCACTACCTCACTTCTGAAGCAAACATTGTTGTTTATTAGGTTATGAAATTTACACGTTGGAAATTATCCTTAATAAAATCTAATTAATTATATGACTAACAAGCTTGGCATGATATCAATTTATACGGAAATATATTTCGTCAATATTTGTTGTTCATAATGTTTATTGATACATCATGTGTCTTCATTCTTCCTTGATGTATCACCTAAATATACGTTCTTGATATGACTAATTATTTGTTTCTTGCAAGAATGTATAATAATTTTGTAAATAGTTTTCATTCAATTGTTCTGGACAAATATTTTAGCAAATTTCATTATTATTAACACCTATTATACGAAGCTCGAAGTCTTTTTTCTCCAATTTTAACATATTGATTTTTACCTTTTTATTGATGACTATTCATTTATCATGAATTTTTTTGTGCGGCATTTACTTCATTTGTAACTTATTTTTCATCATTACTGCTTAGTATCAGCGCAAGATTTGAACTTCTAACCTTGTGGGTGAAAAACCAGGGTCTTGACCTGTTGCGCCACTTACTCCCCATTGTACTATTTCATACCTATTTTCATGACTTGAAAAGTTTTTATCGAATTTTCCAACCACAATCTCTTAGAATTGGCTTTAGATTTGAATGTATGCACTTCAAATGTTTATGAATTTAATTATATCAAATGTTCTATAATCATCACTTTAAATTTGAGTTAAATATATATGAATACTTAAATTGGGGTGGTCCTTAATGAAGATATTTTCGAATTTCTTTGCTCCTAGGGGCTCAAATGCTTCCAATTTGATAAAAAAAACTCTGGAAGTTTTAGAGCTTAATATTAACTTTTAGATAATCCGCACTACAATCAAAATTTCTTATGAAAATAACATGGGTAAAATTCCATTTGTTTTTTAGAATTTCCTTAGCGACAAGTGAATCAAAATTTTGAGAATTACATTGTATTTGCTTATTTTGATCAGAATTAAAAAAAAAAAAACAACGAAAAAATGATATATTTTATAAAATAAGTATTTAATTAAGAAGAAGAACCAAGAACTTTGGTTGGAGTGCGGACTATCTTAATATTAATATTAAAGCTTAAAATGTTCAGAGATTTGTTTTATCAATTTGGAAGCATTTGACCCTCTTCGTTTCGAAAGAAAACCGACAATATCCATATTAAGGACCACTCCAATTATATATGTATTGATTTATGTATGTATAAATCTACTGTACTTTTGTTGTAAATCAATTGCTCCTGAACGGCTATTCAAATTTTGATAAATCTTTTTTAGAGTGTAGTAACAGTAATAAAATAGCTGCAGTGAACTAAAAAATGTGGTATTAATGTTAGAAGAAAGTCGAAAAAATGCTAAAAACTGCTTATTATTATTTAACAGATGAGATGAGAATTAAATGATGTTATATGTTTAATTGTGAGAAAGAAAAAATTATATGGCAAAGGAGGCTCTAACAAGCATCCATCTAGATAATAGAAAAAAAACTAAATTATTTTTCTAAAAAAAACTTTAATAGAGTTCTCCATACGTTTGGGATCACAGTTTTTTTTTTCAGAATGAACAATATATTCTATTAATGGTTAGATTTGTAAAATCGAATAAAAATGTATAATTTAGAAAATTAAAATAAGATTCGATCCAGATCAGAATGAATGTCGCTTATAAATTGATTTCAATTCAATTTTCCAAGTTAAATATTTTTATGATTTTTCCCAAATCAAGTATTTTGTTCATGAAACCTGATTTTTGTATTTTATCCACTGTAAAATCATTGATAAATATTTAATAAAACGTTTAATCATATCAACGAATTATAAGTGTATAAACTACTCTCGTGATGCCCTATTTGAAAATCAACTGTTGGCGTAATTAACAATTGACCTCATAATTATTTGACTAAAAACAGGACGTTGAATTAAGTAATATAGTGCTTTTCCGAAACTCCGATATAAAAATGGCAGCGTATATAAATTTATTTGCAATGTATTAGTAATAAATTTGCTTCGTTCACATTTTTATTGCATAAATGAAAATTATGCATTAGAATGTAATCGTAATCGTAATAAATAGATACGTTCAATTGCGTTCAGTATACAATCGAAAACGTTTGTGGTATATTTCAGTTGCATAAGAATTAGTTCAGGCTTTAACTTATCATTGTGGATTGAAATAATGTTAATCTAAAGTTTCATTCCTTATTTTCAATTTAATACTTTACGATATTTTATTTGCTTATTAATTAATTACTACAATAATACAAAAATATATTTGTATCTAAACTGAAATAAGACTCTGAGAGCGCATATGCAGAAAATTTTGTTTTTCATATTGATAATCTAATTAGACTGTTCTCTACAATTAATCTTTCTTTGATTACTTGAAAATCTGTTAAATTACCTAAGTTATATTTTGACGACTTTGCAATCTGTCGAATATTTTACTCCCATTTTCTAAAATGTTTGGGCGTTACAAATAATGTTTCCAACTTTACAACTTTGTTTGCAAGAGCAATATTTTTCCTTTGATGTTGCAAACCTATATATTGTGCGTTTTTTCCCTTCATATTCATATTATACGAGATGCCTCTGTTAACTTTGATTTAGTGCAATTTAATTTTTATTATAGACAAATATGTACAAGCAAATTTAAATATGAATATTGACTGTACATTGCTCTGCCATAGATTTATGAATTTGAATTTAGATATTAGTTTAAAAAAAATTCTAAATGCATATTGAATATTTTTCTCTAGTTAGAATTTATACAAACTCACACTCAATTATTGCAATTAAATTATATATTGAGTATTTTCGACTAATTCGAGTTTATATAAACTTTTTCAATTAATGCAGTCGATTAAATTAATTCCTGATATTAGTTATTATAAATAAGTTATTCTTATGGCCTTGTGTATGGATTTTTCGAATCGCTAAAAATTGTTCTTCATATATTAATCGTGTGTGTACATATAATAAAAAAGGTGATAGAAATATTTAAGAAATTCTAACTGAAATTGATGAATTACGTAAAGAATCATCTTTGCTAGAATACACCAGTGATTTAACGTTTGATTTATTTAATGTCAATGAAAATAAGTTATGATTGAAGTAATTATAATATGATATGCCAAGATTTATTGCTGCAACATAATCTCGGATCAAATGACTTGAATGCAATCGTAAATACTATTATTATAAATATAGTAATTTATAGCAATTAAAATGGAATATAAAACTTGAATCGCTGCGAATTTGTTCAAAGTCATCTTTGCATCTTTCCATGAAGAAACTAATACTCTTTAGTTTTATCATTTCTTCTCAAACTCTACTACTAAACTACAAATATTGTAATTAAACAAATTCTTACTATTAAACTACAACTTCTTACTATTAAATGCAACTGTATATGATATAAATTTTAAACGATTTCGTTTATTCATTTTTATATTTTATTTTTAAAGAGCAATTGCAATTTTTGTGGCATTCTATAAGCTGTTGTAATCATTATTTTTACCCAATAATTGACCTATTCCAGTTTGTAATTAACTTTTTCATTGCAAATATCAAAGGGCTATTTGCACTTGGAAACGTATTTGCGATTTATATTTTCAAGTGAAAATGGATATCACCAATGTTTGATATCAGGTTGCACTTAACGCTAGATTTCAACTCGGAATATTGTGGTTGCAAGGCCGAGGATTTTCCAGTGCGCTACGTATTCTTCTTATATATTCAATGTATAACTTCTGGGGATGAGGCACGATGACGTAAATTGTGATGTCACTAGCCGTCCTCTATGACGTAGCTCCTACTCTTAATCGTGGGTGGGCGACTATATATATTAGATTTATGATTTTGGGTGATTTCAGAAATTTTATGATACGAATTTTTTGTATAAAAAAAATTTATATGTTAAATTACCCAAAAATAGTTTTAACAATAATTTCATA